GTTATGCTCACATAGTATATAAAAAGGGTTACCTTATATATTACCTTATATAGAAAATGGTTAATATAAATCCATATCAATCTATGACAAATCAATAACAATCCTAGGAATATCTTTTAAGAATCAATGATAATCCATCAAAATTTATAAAATCTCAGAATTTTCAAAATCTACAAAATCCACATAAGTCCATCTACGAATAAGGGCCCCTATGAGTTTAGTTAGTAATTTTTTAAACATTTCAATAATTAAATAAGTGACAATTGCAAAAATACTAGTTTTGGTGTGTCACTTTCAAAAAATGTCACAATAAGTTGTTCATTTGCAAAAATGCCACTAATTATGGATTTTTAAAGTTTAAATCTTAAAATTCTAGAATCCTAAAAACTGTTTTGGCCCCCTAACAGACCATAAACCCTCAAAACTAAACTTTAATACAAGATAGTTAACCCAAACATAAATAATATAATGAATAAATAATTTTGAAAAAGTGGTATTTTTGCAAAATTTTTGAAAAAATAACATTTTTACAAATTTTTTAAAAATATGGTATTTTTAAAAAGTGGCATTTTAAAAATGGTATTTCTCAAAAAATTTCATGAAATAAACAATGTCAGTTTATAAGAAGTTTTTCGTAAATCCACCACATATAAAACATTCAAACTGGTTCACATGCAAATTAAGTTTGTAAATACTGAAACTGAATATGGAATATAGTGAGTTTACGTTCATGACTTAATAATGTTTGTCAAACAACTTATTTTCTAAAAATATTGGCCATATTTTCCCTTTATTACTATTTGTTTTATTTATATAAATGTTAGAGAGTTTTGTACTCCTCTGAATGGTGACAGTATGATGCGAGGCGAGATGAATGCGATGCGGGATAAATAGTAAACAAAACTATAGATATACACATGTATAAGTCTTGATTTTTGTTAGATACACATATATAAGTATAGATTTTTTCAACTGTTCAGTGCGGGACGGGATGGTACCTATTAATATGGCATAAAGTTTTTTTTTTTTAAACATCCTCTATATATTAATTGAAGAGACACTAAGATAAAAATCTTATGTGTCACTCAATGAAGGTTTTTAGGCATATGTTATATTTAAATTAACCAATGAGAACATTTCAACTCAAACTATGTTCTATAGTGAAAATCTCTACATATTCTTATTAATTTTATAACATAAACCTATTAATACATGTTTTACAAATCTAAGTGTAACTAAATGTAATATTTCGCTTACCATATATAATCTGTTTTTACTTTTTTATATATGAAAAATCTTTTTATTTTTATATTTGTAAAAATATAATTTATTGTGGATGTATGTATTTAGATTAATATGATATCTACAAATATTTTAATTATGATATTCTATTACAAACGCGAGATTAATTTTTATTATTCGTGTAAATTATAGAGCATGCAATAAATCAGATAAATTTTAGAGTTATATGAATTTGTCAGACATAACGAACTAAAAAAAAGATATGTTTTCTAATAATGACATGTGAATATTTGAAATCGTAGT